CGCGCCGACCCCAGCGCGCCTGCGCAGCCCGGAATTCTCGGAGAGTCTCGGAGCCTCTGGAGTCTTCCGAGCCCGCGGCCCCGCCTGGCCAAGCACGCTCGCGCGCTTCTGCGTATGCGCATGCGCGGCCCGGGTACTTGTGTGGTGGACTCTGCAAAAGCAAAAGTTGTAATTTTCAAGGCGCTCCTGCCTATAGTTTAAGCTTTGGGGGACCCCGCCGCCGCGGCTCGGGCTGCGGGGCCGGCTCAGTGGCCTGGCGCCAGTGGAGGGCTTGGGGACCCAGCAGCATCTACCCGCCTGGGGCCGCGTGTTTGGGGTTTGGGGCAGTTTGGGGGCCTGGAGCAGCGATTGCGGTGCCCAGGCCGTGTTGGGTGCCGGAGACAGTGATTAGGGGTCCCAGGGTTCCTGCGCCTGGCGCCCGGGCGGAGACTGGATTCGTGACCGATGTCTGAGGGGGACCCCGACACGTGGACGGCGGGCAGGACAAGGACCTGCTGTCCACCCTGACAAGAAGGTCGTCCCCTGGGGGAAGAGGTCATGTGTGCGCAAGGGGCGCCCAGTTCTGAGGCCAGGGGGACCGGAGCAGCCGTCTCCACTGCCCTAGCCTTCGCAGACACAGACCACTGTCTGTCGCAGGCCTCTCTCACCTGGGGGAATGGCCGTGAGGAAATGCCATCAGGCCCACCGAGGAGGTCAAGTCCCCGAACCTGCTCCTACAGCACCACCACCCCCCACTTATGGGGCCCCTTGGGGCTTTGGGGATTTTGGAATAAATTCATGCTCACCTACCGAGGTCCACCATGATTTTGTAAAGCTCATTTTGTTTCAAACTTTACCTGGGGTGTCCATAGGAAATACTTAATAGTTGGGTGGTTAATTTGCTCCAAAAGCCAGTTTTTATTTTTGTTCCTGGAGATTGAACCTAGGCGCACTTAACCACCGAGCCACATCCCCAGTCCTTTTTATTTGAGACAGGATCCTGCTTAATTACTGAGGCTGGCTTTGAACTTGCCATTCTCCTGCCTCAGCCTCCAGTGCCTCTCAAGAACTAACACGTGCCACCATGTCCGGCCCAAAAGTTAGTTTGTAAGCAGGAAATTCAAGCGTTTCTCACCAGTTCGGATGATGGCTGTAACAACAATGGAGAAGGTGGGTCCCTTGGGCCTGCCAGGTCAACATTGTGGTTTCATCTTTAAGGAAAGGAGTCTTAGTGCTGCAATGTCCCTGCCCAGTCCTGTGATCTTTTGTCTTGCTCCTCCCACCATTGGCACTCCTCCCTAGACTCTGGGCCTGGCCTTCTGGAACAATCTGAGAGCTACTACCACTATATAAACAAACTTAAGAAACACTCCTTCCACTTCCAAGTCTCTGGGGATGTTATGCTCGAATTTGGGACCCCCCAAAAGACCACCAGAGACCAAGATCAATGTAAACAGCAAAGAGGTGTTTATTGCGAGCTAGCTCGGTCCTCCGTGGGCACACAGCAATTGGTGATGCCGAGAGGCCCGAGCCCAGGGTTTGCAGCAGTTTTATACATTTTTTGAAGAAGGCAGGGACCCCCACATACATCATAGCATCTCTTAGCAAATCATCACACACCGCGGGAAAATCAAATAACAACTCTAAAACGTGATTAGTACATTCACTGGCGGGAACAAGTTGGGTAGGAGTGATTGGTTACTACAAGAGGGGGATTCATTTGAACTGATTGATTTAAGCCAAGAGGGGTGTTCGTACTTAACTACATGATTTCCCAACACCATAAACTACTGGGAGGGTCATCTGGCATCCCAGGTATTTCCCTGTCTCATGCTGATTGGTGGCTGTTAAGGATGGCTATGGGTCCTCACCTAGCCTGACTGAGTCAGGAACACCTGGCCCAGCAGATCTCTCCTGTTATTTGTAGATAAACCACTTAGCAGGGTGGGAATGTGCCTAGGAGTGCTCTGTGGGTCTTTCCAAGGACAAAGGTCATGTCCCTTCCCTTGGACAGGCTTTGCTCTGAGGTAGAGGCTGGTTTTTCAGGGAAACCTGCTATTCCAGGAGTTCTGGGCCATGAGACCCCTTAGGAGCCAGTGCTGAGAGCATTTACATTAAAAAGGGTGGTACATGCCATAGTCCCAGGAGAATGCCAAGTTCCAGGCCAGTCTGCAAAAAAAGACCTGTCTCAAAAAATATAAAAGACTGGAGATGTAGCTCAGTGTAGTGTGTCCCTGGGTTCAAGCCTCAGAATTGGGGTTGGGGGAATTGGGACAATGGAAGAAACAAGTAGTGGCACAGCCAGGGTACTTGATGTTGTTAGGTGTGTGAAGTGTATTTCATGCTGTGTGTGTGAGAGAGAGAGAGAGGAGAGAATGCTGCAGGCCCAGGTCTTCCTTGCAGTTTGGGATGGGGGCAATAAGAGGAGGGGGTCAGGGAAGGAAGAAGGGTAGTTGATATTTTCAGCCTGCAAGGTCTTGGCAGGCAGTACCTTGTGCCTTTTCAACCTGTTCCCTCTTTCCTGATGTGGTGGCTTCCTTCCTTTTTTACCCCAGCTTCCACCATTGCCCAAGAGATTTAAGATTTCTTTAGATGAGGCATCCAGTGTCCTGGCTTTGAAGTTCTTTGTCCCTCTTTCTAGAGCCTTTACCTTTCCTTTCTACCAGGTTACCCCAAGGCCACTCCCTGTTTCCTGCCCAGCATTAATATCCCTGGCTCCATCCACATCATCCTGTTCTTCAACTCTCCCAGCAGAGACTGAAGGATATGGAGGCCCAGGGAGGGAGGGAACTTCCCTTGTTGTTTCCCTACCTGCCCTCCTGCCCTGCTCTAAATTAACCCCACCACCAAAACTCCTCCCATGACCTGGCCTTGCCCCCAAACTGACTAACTCCTCTAACTCCTCCTTATGATCTGGCTCTAATCCAGACCCTCATGGTAGCCAGCCACAATTTCCCCCTTGAAAATGTTCCCCTCCAGTGCAGAGTAAAGCATCCACTGGTCCTTGAGGTCTCCCTCCATTTTCTTTTTGTATTCTCTTTCATGAGCTTTCAGTAACTGGACATTTTGGGGGGTTACCCTTCTGGTTAACATTACACTGTTCCCCAGCAATCCCTTCCTTGAGAGCTCTGCCTGCTTTCCTCCATCAAGGTCTGTGGTTTCCTCCCTGCCCAAGGCTGCTCTTTCTCTCTGCTCCCTGGATTGGAATTTCTCTCCCTGGCCTGTGGCTGGGGCCCCTGGAGGGGAGTTCTAGGCCACCAGAAGATCCTCTCCAGCACTTTTTTTTTTTTTTAAATAAAAATTTTTAGTTGTAGATGGACACAATACCTTTACTTACTTAGTTTAATTTATTTTTTATGTGATGCTGAGGATCGAACCCAGGGCCTCACAAGCGAGGCAAGTGCTCTACCACTGAGCCACAAGCCCAGCCCCCAGCACTCTCACTTTCTAACATTATCTGTGTGCATATAACTCACAGACGCCCAGGCCAAGAAGCTGGCTCCATACCAGGCTTAAAGTTCCCTACCTAACCAATTCCCCTAGGACTCTAGAGCCAGGTGACTGTAAGCACAATGAGGGAGGAAGGAAGCAGACCTTGGATCAGCAAGCTCTTCTTTATTCAGCTGAGGAGTCAATCGGCCAAATAACTAATGTGGCTCATTTCTGGGGCGGAAAATTGTGGTGGGCCAAAGCAAGGGTTTCATAGGCTTCATTTAAAGGGTGGGACAGGAGGGTAGTTCCTGGGGTTCATTGTATTGGAGTCCGCTGATCCATTAGTGTGGGCGGGGAGTGTGGATAGGGGATTTCCTGGGGCTTATTGTATTGGAGTCAGCTGGCCCCTTAGGGTGAGGGGTCGGGTGCCTGTGAGGTGTGAGTTCCTTTTGTGTTCCTTCCCTCTGGCTAAGGCCTGGGCTTTTAAATGACAAAAGCTTCAATTTTATCCCAAACAAGGCAGGTGGAGAACAGACACAGATAGGGGAAATGTCCTTGGACTTATTCTGCATATCCTTCAGTGACCACCCCACCATATTCCAGAACCCCAGCTTCCTTCTGCACTGGGTCTGACCCACCAAGTCCTGCTTGTCTGCCTCCTAAATACATCTTTTTGTATTTCTTTTTGATACCAGGAATTGAACCTGGGGCTGCTTGACTACTAAGCCACATCCACA